TGCTGTATAGCCTAGACAAGCCTTGACCTCAGAATCCTTTCTCCATCCCCCAAGTGCTAAGACTACAGATGTGCACCATCACAGTGGGCATGAGTGGAGCATTTCTTGCCTCTGTGTGTGTGTGTGTGTGTGTGTGTGTGTGTGTATAATTGGGGGGGGGATGGAAAAGAAAACAGCCCCTATAACTAGGCCTTATTCAGTGGCAGCTTCTTGTTTCATAGGGTTAAGGAAAACTTTGAGGAAATAAAAGTTGTTTGGAAAAATTCAGGTGGAGTTGCTTTGCATGAAGTGATGGTTGAGAGATAAAGTGTGAAGGCCTCTCACATCCTCCATCTTGCCTCAGACTATGTCCTGGAACTCTGGGGTGGAGAAAGTATCATTTTCATTCTTGCTTCTTGTGATTGTTGACTGCCACATGGTAATAGAGAACCACAAGCAAGTCAAGTGACACGCCCAGCATGTTGGTGAAGATGGTGAGCTGTCTGTGATCATCCTGACCAGCTCCACCTGGCTCCCATGGAGCATTTCTGATTGTCGTCAGGACATCTCCACATGGGTGTCTCATTCAGTGTGGTTAAAAGCAGACTCAGGCCAGTGTGGTGGTGCACACCTGTAGCTGCAGCACTTGGGGGGCTGAGGCAGGACGATTGTCAGTAATTTGAGGCCAGCCTGGGCTACAGTGTCAGACTCTGTCTCAAAAAACAAAAACTAACTAAACAAAAAGAAAAATGGAGGGATTATATTTCTGTAACAAGGAGAGGGCACTGTCCATCTGTCCCTCCCCCTCTGGAATACTGTCAATCAGTGGCTGGCTAAACAGGACACACAGCAACCTCTTTGCACCCTCTGAGATACACCAAAGGCTAAACTATGGGCCATTTTTTCTAGCTGCTCATTAATATTTTTGAAAATTTCAAGAATGGAACATGGATTTTTTTTTGTTTGTAGAAATTTGTTAAAATTGATGACACTTTTATTTTTGAATCTGAAGCCAATTTTTAATTTTCTTTCTTTGGTCTTTTGGGGACAGGGTCTCCCTGTAGCCCCAGCTGTCCTGGAACTCACTATGCGGACCAGGCTACCCTTAAACTCACAGAGATCCACATGCCTTTGCCTCCCGAGTGCTGGGATTAAAGGCATGTGCCACCACACCTGGCACTTATTTATTATTTTTATTTTATGCGTATGCGTGTATTGCCTACACGTAGGTAAGTGCACCCATGTCGTGCAATGCCCATGGAGGACAGAAAAGGCTGTCAGATCCCCTGGAACTGGAGTTACGCACAGTTCCAGGGGTGCTGGACAGTTCCAGGGGTGCTGGGATTCAAACCTGGGTCTTCTGCAAGAACAGCCAGTGTTCTTAACCGCTGAGCCATCTCTTCAGCCCCATGATGACACTTTTTTGAGATTGGGTCTCCATGTAGTCCCAGTTGGCCTGGAACTCACTATATAGACCAGGCTGGCCTTGATCTCACGCAGAGATCTGCCTACCTACCTCTGCTTGCTGAGTGCTGGGATTGGTGATGGAAGACAGAGGAGGGCATCAAGTGCCTTCTATCAATTTCTGGTCATTCCTTTTCAACAGCCTCTCTCTGACACTGAGGCTCCAGTTTTCTTGGCTAGGCTGGAAGCCAGCAAGCTTTGGTGATCCTCCTGTTTCTGAGGAGCTGGGGTGGTAGATGTGCATGGGATGCTCAGCTCATAATGCGGGTGCTGGGATTCAAACTCCAGTCCTTATGATTGCACAGCAAGTTGCTCTTAACCATACAACAGTCTCTCTAACCTAGATATTTAATCTTTTGTCCCACAGGGTATGCAGCCAGGTGCTTTGCAAAGTGTGAGCCATATGCCTGCAGCTGCCACATAAACCCCTAAAAGTCCCAGAATAGCCTGAGGTACCTGTACTCATCCGAGCATGTATTTTTATAAGAGGGTTCCTTCAGTGCTGTCCAGGCTGGCTTTGAACTCACTGTCCTATTGTTTCTACCTCCCAAGTAACTAGCCCAGCTTTAGTTTAATGTAATTTTTTTTTTTTTATTTAGATAGGGTCTTTCTGTCTATCCCAGGCTGGCTTTGAACTTATAACCTACATACTTCTGCCTCTGAATGCTAGGGCCATAGGTGTGCACCATGGCATCTGGTCTTGAATCCTTAACCTTGATATGACCAGAGAGTACAGGATAAGACAGGTGTGCACATGTCATTGCAGAAACCCAAATCCCTAACATTTTCTGGGTGATAGTCAAGGCTTGCTCTTTTCATGGGTGCATACTTAATTGCCAATAACAAAATTGCCCCAACCCATCTTCCCTTCAAGCCTCTTGCTTCAACCCCACCTCTGCTAAGGCACAACTGGTAGTCGTGCTTGACTCTGATTCCTCCTTCCCTCTTTTGCTGTCAGTTTCTTTTACCCCAGGAGTACGTGTCTGCCTCTGTGCTGGATTTTAGGTTCTTAAGGGGTGCAGCCCTTGTCTTGTCTATCTCCCATCACACAGTAAGCTCATAAATAGGTGATTCAAAAAATAGCTCTTGAACTTTCTGTTTGATGCCCCAGGCTTGTCTGTCTCTATCTTGCAACTGTCACCTGGGTGAGAAATTTCCTCTATAAATACGCAGTTTCTGTTTCAGGTATGGTTGGCTGTGATATCCACTCCCCTCCACCCCCCCGGCACCCCACCCAAGCCTCCATCTTTGAGCTGGAGGTCAGAGCTAGTATTCAAATCCTTAGCCGCAATGCCAGCAGCCCTCATAAGAACCAATGAAGTCAAGCTCATTCTTTTTTCCTTGATATCATAGCCGCTGTCCCTACGTTTGCCGGAGAGTTTGCTTGTCCTTCCATGCTGTTCTTTCCGTTGTTCCCCTGTTTCTTTTTGAGATCAAGTTCCAGATGGCTCAGCAGTGCTTCCACAATGAATATTTTGACAGTCTGCTGCATGCTTGCAAACCTTGTCACCTTCGATGTCCTGATACCCCTCCTGTAATGTGTCAGCGTTACTGTAATACAAGTAAGTAAGACAGCTTCCACAGCCGCTCCTCAGTGGGAAGTATTCTCTCCATATTGACTGTTGATTTATCACAGAATAAATGGTATGGGGAAGATGGTGAGGTTTTTTTTTTTTTTCCCTAATTCAAAACCAGAAAGGAAACGATGATTTAAATGCCTTCTGAAGAGAAGTAATTATTCAGAACTGAATTCAATTTTATTCAGCACTGATAGTGACATGGATTCTCACCAGCTCATCTAATTATGTGGTATTTAGAATGTAAAATTCATTGTTGGTGAAATTGGGGTGGTAGTGCATGCCTCTAATCCCAACACTGGGGAAGATGCGGCCAGGAGGATTGCCACAAGTTTGAGGTCAGCTTGGCCTATATAGTGAATTCTAGGCCACCTTGGGCTAGACTAGGATCCCGTCTCAAAAAATAAATAACAAAAGAGGTTGGAGAATGTGGCTCAGCTGATACAGTGCCAGACTAGCATACATAAGGCCCTGGGTACCATCCCTAGCATTGTATAAACTGGGGTCTGGGTCTTCTGCAAGAACAGCCAGTGTTCTTAACCGCTGAGCCATCTCTTCAGCCCCATGATGACACTTTTTTGAGATTGGGTCTCCATGTAGTCCCAGTTGGCCTGGAACTCACTATATAGACCAGGCTGGCCTTGATCTCACGCAGAGATCTGCCTACCTACCTCTGCTTGCTGAGTGCTGGGATTGGTGATGGAAGACAGAGGAGGGCATCAAGTGCCTTCTATCAATTTCTGGTCATTCCTTTTCAACAGCCTCTCTCTGACACTGAGGCTCCAGTTTTCTTGGCTAGGCTGGAAGCCAGCAAGCTTTGGTGATCCTCCTGTTTCTGAGGAGCTGGGGTGGTAGATGTGCATGGGATGCTCAGCTCATAATGCGGGTGCTGGGATTCAAACTCCAGTCCTTATGATTGCACAGCAAGTTGCTCTTAACCATACAACAGTCTCTCTAACCTAGATATTTAATCTTTTGTCCCACAGGGTATGCAGCCAGGTGCTTTGCAAAGTGTGAGCCATATGCCTGCAGCTGCCACATAAACCCCTAAAAGTCCCAGAATAGCCTGAGGTACCTGTACTCATCCGAGCATGTATTTTTATAAGAGGGTTCCTTCAGTGCTGTCCAGGCTGGCTTTGAACTCACTGTCCTATTGTTTCTACCTCCCAAGTAACTAGCCCAGCTTTAGTTTAATGTAATTTTTTTTTTTTTATTTAGATAGGGTCTTTCTGTCTATCCCAGGCTGGCTTTGAACTTATAACCTACATACTTCTGCCTCTGAATGCTAGGGCCATAGGTGTGCACCATGGCATCTGGTCTTGAATCCTTAACCTTGATATGACCAGAGAGTACAGGATAAGACAGGTGTGCACATGTCATTGCAGAAACCCAAATCCCTAACATTTTCTGGGTGATAGTCAAGGCTTGCTCTTTTCATGGGTGCATACTTAATTGCCAATAACAAAATTGCCCCAACCCATCTTCCCTTCAAGCCTCTTGCTTCAACCCCACCTCTGCTAAGGCACAACTGGTAGTCGTGCTTGACTCTGATTCCTCCTTCCCTCTTTTGCTGTCAGTTTCTTTTACCCCAGGAGTACGTGTCTGCCTCTGTGCTGGATTTTAGGTTCTTAAGGGGTGCAGCCCTTGTCTTGTCTATCTCCCATCACACAGTAAGCTCATAAATAGGTGATTCAAAAAATAGCTCTTGAACTTTCTGTTTGATGCCCCAGGCTTGTCTGTCTCTATCTTGCAACTGTCACCTGGGTGAGAAATTTCCTCTATAAATACGCAGTTTCTGTTTCAGGTATGGTTGGCTGTGATATCCACTCCCCTCCACCCCCCCGGCACCCCACCCAAGCCTCCATCTTTGAGCTGGAGGTCAGAGCTAGTATTCAAATCCTTAGCCGCAATGCCAGCAGCCCTCATAAGAACCAATGAAGTCAAGCTCATTCTTTTTTCCTTGATATCATAGCCGCTGTCCCTACGTTTGCCGGAGAGTTTGCTTGTCCTTCCATGCTGTTCTTTCCGTTGTTCCCCTGTTTCTTTTTGAGATCAAGTTCCAGATGGCTCAGCAGTGCTTCCACAATGAATATTTTGACAGTCTGCTGCATGCTTGCAAACCTTGTCACCTTCGATGTCCTGATACCCCTCCTGTAATGTGTCAGCGTTACTGTAATACAAGTAAGTAAGACAGCTTCCACAGCCGCTCCTCAGTGGGAAGTATTCTCTCCATATTGACTGTTGATTTATCACAGAATAAATGGTATGGGGAAGATGGTGAGGTTTTTTTTTTTTTTCCCTAATTCAAAACCAGAAAGGAAACGATGATTTAAATGCCTTCTGAAGAGAAGTAATTATTCAGAACTGAATTCAATTTTATTCAGCACTGATAGTGACATGGATTCTCACCAGCTCATCTAATTATGTGGTATTTAGAATGTAAAATTCATTGTTGGTGAAATTGGGGTGGTAGTGCATGCCTCTAATCCCAACACTGGGGAAGATGCGGCCAGGAGGATTGCCACAAGTTTGAGGTCAGCTTGGCCTATATAGTGAATTCTAGGCCACCTTGGGCTAGACTAGGATCCCGTCTCAAAAAATAAATAACAAAAGAGGTTGGAGAATGTGGCTCAGCTGATACAGTGCCAGACTAGCATACATAAGGCCCTGGGTACCATCCCTAGCATTGTATAAACTGGGGTTGGTGGCATGCACTTGCAATCCCAGTACTTGAGAGGGGGTGGAGTTAGGAGGATTGGAGTGCAAGGTCATCCTTGGCTACACAGTAAGTTACAGGCCAGCCTGGGCAGATTTTGTCTCAATAAAAAAAATAGATGCTCATGAATATGTTTTAGGGGAACTGAATGCCAGCTAATTCCCACCTGCCTATCTCTGTGTAATTCTTTTAATAAAGGAATGACCAGTTTTGCGAAAGGAACAAATACCATTCTCTGGACCTGCCTGGGCCTGACCTTGGTGGCTTCCTTGGCACTTTTCGTGCTCATGTTCTTGTTAAGGAAGATGAGCTCTGAAGTACTGAAGAACAAATTTCAAAGCCCAGGTCAGTTTGGTGGTGAGTCTCTGAGCTCTATTTTTGTGGTGGCTCTTCAGAGTTTCATTTCCTTTTCTTTTTTTAACTTTGAAAACTTTGTGTTTGGTTGCAGTAATTTCAAGTGTGTTAGTGCATAGTTACTCGAAATTCTGAGCTAGGTGTAGTAGTGGACATCTGTCATCCTGGCTCTTGGGAGGTGGAGGCTGGAGGATCAAGGAGTTCAAGGTCATCCTTTGATGATAGCCTGGGCTACGTGAGACCCTACTTAAAAAAAGAAGAGAATTCTGATGTTGACACATTTTTATTTAATTATAAAATTTTTATCATTTTTATTTTATGTGTATGAGTGTATTGCCTGCATGTATGTGAGTGCACCCATGTCGTGCAATGCTGCAGAGGTCAGAAGAGGGCTTTGGATTCCCCTGGAACTGGAGTTAAGGATGGTTCATAGCCGCCATGTGGGTGCTGGGAATCGAACCCAGGTCCTCTGTAAGAGCAGTCAGTGCTCTTAACCACTGAGCCATCTCTCTAGCCCCTAAAAAATTTTTATTTTATGTGTGCGTTTTGCCTGCATGTAAGTGCACCCATGTCCTGCAATGCTTGTAGAGGCCAGAAGGGGGCGTCAGCTCTCCTGGAACTGGAGTTACAGCTGGTTGTTAGCTGCCATGTAGGTTCTGGGAACCAAACCCAGGTCCTCTACAAGAGCAGCCAGTGCTCTTGCCTGCTGAACCATCTCTCCAGCTCCTGTAGATTGCCTTTCAATGTCGGTCTTACCCCAATTTCTTACCCTGGTAATGAGTTGCTGTATTTCAGCTTTCTTTGAAAGCATCTTTGACCGAAGTTAACACTCTGATTAAATGTCCTGCTATCAGAAACTGCTAGCCAGGCCTGGACTCTTAGGTTAAGCATCTTTGGCAAGATCCTTGGTCATGTTTTTAATACAGTTATAAGTGTCTGCCTGGGTGAACATTTTACTGCCCAAAGTGTTAGGAATGAATAGCCAGTTGCTCTTGGATTCTCTAACCATCTCAAGAATAATTATGAAGCAATAGACAGCCAGTCTGAGTGAAGTAAATGTTCTACTTGAGGACCTCTTAGGCTAAAAATATTCCACAGCACCTTTCCCTGTGATCTGATTCTCAGACACACATAGCAGCCTGTGTCCTGCAATTATTTTTAATTAAAAAATTGTTTTTGGTGTATGTGCATGTGTGGTGCATGAACGTGAGTGTATGGGTGCAAGAGCCCTTGTGCACACACACAGAGACTAGAGCAGCATGTTGGGTGTCTTCCTCCTCTGCATGTATGTGCATCCCATGTGTGCCTGGTGCCCACAGAGACCAGAAGAGGACATCAGACTAGGTACCAAATCCAAGTATTCTTTTTTTATTTTTTTCAGTCTTTTTGAGACATGGTTTCCCTGTAGCCCTAGCTGGCCTGGAACTCACTATGTATACCAGGCTGGCCTTGAACTCACAGAGCTCTGCCTGCCTCTGCCTCCCTAGTGCTGGGATTAAAGGTGTGCACCACTAGGCCCAGAAGGGGATTCATTTTAAAAAGATTCATCTGGGTGTGTGGGCCTCACCTGTAACATTAGCACTCTGGAGGTTGAGGCAGGAGGATCACCAAGAATTGGAGGCCAGGAGCTGGAGAGATGGCTCAGTGGTTAAGAGCACTGGCTTGTCTTGCAGAGGATGTAGATTTGGTTCCCAGCACCCACATGGTGGCTAACAAAAGAACATATTTCCAGTTCCAGGGGATCCAATGCCTTTTTCTGGCCTCTGAAAGCATTGCATGACATGGGTATACTTACATACATGCAGACGAAACGCTCATATACATAATATTTGAAAAAAAAAAGAATTGGAAGCCAGCCTGTGCTACAGTAAGTTCTCAGCCAACCTGGGCTACAGAATGAGACTCTTCCTTGAAAAATCAAAATTCACATGCTGATAATGCTCCATAAGGACTGGGTGTGGTAGTATATGCCTTGAATCCCAGCGCTAGGAAGGCAGAAACAGGTGGATCTCTGTGAATTTGAGTCTCGCCAGGGCTACATAGCGAGACCCTGTATCCAAAAACCAACCAAACAAACAAACAAAAAAATGCTCCATAAGAAATCTCTTGGGGGCGCTGGAGAGATGGCTCAGCGGTTAAGAGCACTGAGTGCTCTTGCAGAGGACCGGGGTTCGATTCCCAGCACCCACATGGCAGCTATGAACCATCCTTAACTCCAGTTCCAATCTAAAGCCGTCTTCTGACCTCCGCGGCACTGCACGACACAGGTGCACTCACATACATGTAGGCAATACACTCATACACATAATATAATAAAATAAAATATTTTTTAAAAAAGAAGCCGGGTGTGGTGGCACATGCCTTTAATCCCAGCACTTGGGAGGCAGAGGCAGGTGGATCTCTGTCAGGTCAAGGGCAGCCTGGTCTACATAGTGAGTTCCAGGACAGCTAGGACTACAGGGAGATCCTGTTTCAAAAAAAAAAAAAAAGAAAAAAAAAAAAAATCTCTTGGGGCGGGAGAGAAGGCTCAGCGGTTAAGAACATTGGTTGTTCTTGCAGAAGACCCAGGTTCGAATCCCAGCACCCTCATGGCAGCTAACAACTGTCTGTAACTCCAGTCCCAGGGGATCTGACAGCCTCTTCTGACCTCTGAGGACATTGCACAACATGGGTGCACTTACTTACATGCAGGCAATACATATATACACATAAAATTTTAAAAAATGATTTGAAAAAAAAAAAGAAAAGAAATCGCTTTAGGGAAGGTGAGATGGCTCCATGGCTAAAGGCACTTGCTGTCACCCCTGGCTATCTGAGTTTGATCCCTAGTACCTACCTGGTGGAAGGAAAGAACTGATTCCCACAAGTTATCTTCTGACTTCCACATGTGTGCTGTGACATGAGTACCCCTTCCACAATAGGTAAATGTAATAATATAAATAAATGAATATCTTCCTGTTCTATTTCCGTCTTGTACCCAGGACTGAACTCAAGGCCTTGCTCACGCAAGCTTCACACTTGCACTCTACTCTTCCTGCTCAGCCTCCTGTGTAGCTGGGATGACAGGTGGGGGCCAGCATGCTCAGCTTTTGCTTCTGTATTTTAAAATGTCACTCATAGGCTGATTTTGGTATGCTGTGACATATGGTCATTTTTGTCACTTTTCATGTGTAAGATGAGGTCAAGCTTTGATGTGTGCAAGAGCCAAATGGGCAATAAATACATGTATGGAGCCAGTTCATGGCTCCAGCAGCAGAGGCACCCATCACCTGCCTGAAGGTGACAGCTACTAGTTTTGACTTCAGTCCACTGTTTCTATGTCTCTTCTGTTGTCCCATTTTGTTGTCTTTTAAGATTTCATATGTGAAATCTCTTGACTTTTAAATCTGATCAACATAAAACAAGATTTCAAAACTCTGTATATTCCCAAACCAATTATGTCTTAGAGCTTGGTGTGGCCTGGAGCCTTAACTTGTAACTCTCAGGGTAGGATGCATGCCTCCATCCTGCCCTGCTTTGCTTCCTGCTGGGCACTGCTAAGCCTGCCATACAATCCTTCTGGGATATTCAGGTCAATGTCTGTTTCAGTATCATCAGGACTAGTTCTGCTGGACATGGCCAACACTGATCTGGACAAGAACAAGACCGACAATGAAAGGATTCTCCCGAGAAGCCTGGGGTACACAGTGGAAGAATGCACTTGTGACGACTGTGCCAAGAGCAACCCAAAGATTGATTCTGACCATTTATTTCCTCTCCCAGCCATGGAGGAAGGCTCAACCATTCTTGTCACCACAAAAACGAGTGACTATTCCAAGAGCATGCCAGTTGCTTCTGAAAGTGTCACAGGGATAGAGAAACCAATTCATTCTAGATAATTAAGCTTTTGACTAGCATATGGATGGCTGTTTATCAGCTGCAGTTATAGCTTTTTCTTCTTTAATTCTGAAAACTCTTTACATTAGATGTGTTTCTTATCTGATTTTTGGGAGCTTAACTGTAGAAGGGTCCTTGGTTTTATCATTAAATTTTTGATTTCCTGAAAAAAAAAGCACTGCATCTGTAGGTCCACAGTGTCATATTTCTATTGGGTAGACACCCACAGACTTACAGAAATGCATTTCAGGACAGACTGGATTCTTCCTGAGAGCCAAAGATACTCATGTGTCTTTTGTAAACAGAAGCCAGGATAAGTCAATGTGCAATGCACAGGCTTGTGGGCACCCCGCTTAAGGAGATACCAGGCATTAGCATGGTCATACAAATATACATGTCATTGCTAAGTGTGGCAAAGGGGATCTTGGTACTATTTTCAGTGCAAATGTGGGAGTGTGTGGTAATAATCATAACAACATTTATGAAGCATTAATGGTGCCAGGGACTGTTCAAGGTCATTTCATACACACACACACACACACACACACACACACACAAACACACACACAAGCTATGTGTTATTATCCATCTTATGGAGTCAGGACTGAGCACTTGCCTAACATGCTCAAAGCCCTGGGTTCAACCTCCAGCATTAATATGGGAGGTTAGTGAGGTAAACTGAGTCAGAGCAAGGTAATACAGCCAGTGTGTGGCTGTATTAATTTGTTTGTGGTAGTATAGTAGGATACTTGAGGCTGGGTAATGTATAAAGAACATAAGGTTATCTCTTTTTTGGTCTGTTTTCTTCTTGATAGGCTGGCCTGGAACTCTTGATCTGCCTGCCCTCAGCCTCTGGAACTAGAGGATTACAAGTGTGCACCACCTGAAATACCATTCCTGGCTTTCCTCAGTTCTGGAGGCTGGAAAGCTCAAGATCAAGGTGCTAGTGTCTGGGGAGAGTTTTCTCACTATGTCCCCACAGGTGGAAGGTAGGTGAGGAGGCAAGCTGAACCCATATGACCCTCTTCTACAGGAGCTTAAGATCACCCATAAAGGTGAGCCTCTGTAGCTCAAGCAGCTTTTTCTTTTCAGCATTGGGAATCAAATCCAGGGCCTCCCACATGCTAGGCAAGCACTCTTCCACTGAGCTGTAGCCTCCAGGTCTGTATTATTTTTAAATTCTTGATACAGAGTTTCTCTAAGCTACCCATGCTGGATGCCTCCCTTTCAGCCTCACAGCCAGCAGGGGGAAAATACTCTATCGGCTTGACTTTTTGGGCCCCCGCTCCATCTTTAAAATGGAGCAATAACTTGACTTCATAGTTGCTGTGAATGTAACACATATTCTTACTCATCTATTTTTCCACCTCTCTTGTCAACCCCAGCCCTAGGCACTATTGTCTATTGCCTGGACAACTGCAGTGGCTTCCTAACAAGCTGTCCTTTACTCCCTAGTGATAAGTGATGTCTTTTTTTTTTCTTCGATTTAAAATAAAAAAAAATATTATTTTTATGTGTATGCGTGTATTGCCTGCATGTAGGTAAGTGCACCCATGTCATGCAATGCCCTCAGAAGACAGAAGAGGCTGTTGGATTCCCTGGAACTGGAGTTATGGACAGTTGTTAGCTGCCATGTGGGTGCTGGGATTCGAACCTGGGTCTTCTGCAAGAATAGTCAGTGTTCTTAACCACTGAGCCATCTCTCTAGCCCCAGATTTAAAAAATTTTTAATCATGTGTATATATGTATGTGTATCAGTACTAGAGCCCATGGAGGCCAGAGATGTTGGATCCCCTGGAGCTGGAATTACAGGTGGTTATTAGCCTGATGTAGGTGCTGGGAATTGAACTCAGGTCCTTTGGAAGAGCAGTACATACTCTTGGTGGTTGAGTCACCTCTCCAGCCCCATGATGTCTTTTTCTTTTTTGAGGTAACATCTCACTATGTAGCTCAGGCTGTTCCTGGGATGAAAGGTGTTCCCCATCGAGCCAGGCTTACAGGTGATGTTTCTCCCAGAATCACCCTTGTGCTCCCACCAACCTTTCCATGCACGGACTCTGCACCTGCTCCTGGAATATGGGTCCTGGGCATACTTTTATGTAGCCGAGGATCACCTTGAACGCACTCCAGCCTCTTCCCCAGTGCTGGGATGACAGCCGTGTGCACTGCACTAGGCTCACAGTACTTTTATCCTGCATCCCTGTCGAGACCGCAGACTGGACCCCGGTCTCCTTCGTGCCGCGGGGACCGGGAAACGTTCATCCTGCTGAGCACTGGGTCTTCTCCCCGCCACCCCGGCGCCCAAGCCGCGGGGGTATTTTGGTTCCGGGTCGGAAGGCGGGCCCTGGGCGGGGCCGAGCTTCCGGGGCGGGGCTGGAGGGCGGGGCGTGCGCTCTCTGGGCCTGTGTGAAGCTCGTCTGCTGCAGACGCGGCGGCAGCGGCGGTGGCGGCGGCTGCAAGGCAGGCGGCGGCCCCGGGAGCAGCATCATGAACGGTGAGTGGCGGCCCCGCCGCTGTTGGCCGCCCGGTGGCGCCGCTGCAGCCGCACGCTCGGGGCCCCGCGCCCTGCACATCCCCGCGGGTACTCTCGCAGCTCGGGGTCCCGGGCCACTCTCCGCTCGATCCTGGCCCCGGTTCCCCTGTACGGCTCTCACTCCCCCCGGGTGGGCACTCCTGCCTCCTCGACCCATCCGTGACAGCCGGGTCCTGGAGCCCGCTCCCCAGTCCCTCGCAGGCCGCCGACCCCTGGCTGGGTTCCCAGACCCCGGGTTCGGACACCTCTAGTGTCTCAGCCCCTCTTCGCTCACTGACCCTCCAGAGACCAGCTCGGCTCTGGGCCCTGCTCTACAGTCATTCTCGCGCCCAGAGCCCCGTCCCTCTTTCCCTAGAGGCAGAGAGCATCTCTCTAAGACCCTCGGTTTGCTGATCCGGAGCCCCTGACCACAGCAAACCAGAGCAGTAGCTCCGGGTCCCTAGAGGTCTCAATGTTGCAGCCGCTTTGTCTTCCGGTCCCTCGGATTCCCTGCACCCGCGTCCCCCGGTGCTGGCCCGTGAGCCTCGCAGCTTCCCTCTCGGGTCCGTGACTTGGACATTTGGGCTTTTGGTTCTTGCTCCAGCCCCTTCCATTTCTTCCCTTAGCTGCTCGTTTGAGGTCTCTGTTGTGTCCTGCTTGCCCGGTGCTGCGCCTGTGTGGGGATGTCGCCTAGCCCAAGCCAGTCCCATCAGCGAGGAGGTGGAGCGGGAGGGGAGGCTGCTAGCGAAAGGGAGGTGGGTGTGGACCGCTTGTGCTCGGTTGTCCTGAAGTTTAGTCCCTTGGGTCTGAGTCCGCGTCTCCATCCTCGCCTTCTTCTGAAGAGTTCTGCTGGTGTTTTGGTGCTAAGTCATTCCTGGGTGTTGCATGTGGAGATGGGAGTGACTCAGGAAAGCCTCTTGGCTATTGACTCTCTTCCTGGCACCCTGGGATCTGAATTCCCTTAGGAGCCCCAATCTTTGTTAAAGAATTATTGGCAGCTTATTTCTTTTTTTTTTTTTTTTTTTTTTTTTTTTTTTTTCCTGCCACTATGCAGTTTCTCTCTGACAGTCCCCACCTCCAGCCCTTTGGCTCTAGCCTCGCATCCAGGCGTTTCAGGAAATGGAGAGGGTGCCAGGGAAAGGGGGGTTCTTTTCATTCCTAGCTTTTAAGTTATTGCTATGGGTCTTTTAAAAAAAATTTATTTATTATTTTATGTGTATTGCCTGCGTGTATGTGAGTGCACCCGTGTTGTGCAATGCCGCGGAGGTCAGAAAAGGGCGTCGGATTCCCTGGAACTGGAGTTAAGGACGGTTCGTAGCCACCATGTGGGTGCTGGGAATCGAACCCAGGTCCTCTGCAAGAGCAGTCAGTGCTCTTAACCACTGAGCCATCTCTCCAGCCCCATTTCTATGGCTCTTTAAAATAATAAATTAGATACTTTTTGTTCTTGCTATTCAAGAGCAAGGTTTGTGAAATTGGTGAGCTTCTGAGGGGAGAGTGCAGGGGTTTTCCTGGAGATAGTGCACTCACTGCTACCAGAGCTAATGGTTGGGTCTGATTGAGGGTTCTGGTCCTTGAACATTAATAATACCACAGCAAAGATGCGAGCTGGCACCCACCAGAAGGTAATGTAGCTTGGTATAAGTGCAGCTCCTTGAGCCTGACATCCTGGGTTCAAATCCTTCCTCTGCCACTTAAAGCTGTATAATTTAAAATTTATTTATTCAGTGTGTGTATGGTGTATGTATGTGTATGCACATGTATGTGTGTGTGTGCTCATGCATGTGCAGGTGTGCTCACCTGTGCATGTGTGTGTGGGCACCACAAGCCTACTTTATATCTTCCTCTATTCTGTACCTTATTTGTTGAGAAAGTGTTTGTCCCTGACACTAGAGCTCCCCAGTTCAGCTAGACTGGCCAGTGAGCCTCCGGTCCCAGCACCCCCCATCCCCCCCAGTGCTGGAGTTAAAGCATACACTGCCATGCCAGGCTTTTACCATGGGTGCTGGGGATCATAAGCCCGCTTCTGCACAGCAAACACTTTACTCACCTTGCCACCTCAACAGGCCTTAAAGCTGTGTAATTTAGAATAAGTTATTTTGGAATTCCCAGCAAATAAGGATACACAATAGAGTCTGTCTCCTAGACTCGTAATGACTTAACATTGCTCAGGGTTCATGGTTACTGTTCCTATCAAGGTGAAGTTGGGACAGGGTTGCCTGTTGGCCCAGTCTGGGCCGAGGGTTAGAACTAGGCATTTTGAAATCCTCTGTGGTACTGGGGATGAATCCAGGACTTCATACATGCTCAACGTGTGTCTTCTCATGGAGGACATCCTCAGCCCTGACCTTTTTCTTTTAATGTGACCAAAGAGTCTGCTGTAGTCCAGATTTCTGGACTAGAAATTCTCTCTTTTCTCTTCATGGAGGAGGAGATGAAATTGAGAAACCAAAGGCAGCCAGTTTATCTTTAAGGAGACACTTAGGATCCAAAACTCAGGGAATTGGGCTTTTGCTGCCTGATGACCTGAGTTTGATGCTGGGGACACAGATGGTGGCAGGAGAGAACTGAGTCTGGCTAGTTGTCCTCTGATCTCCATAGAAACGCTGTGGCATGCATGTGCACACACAAAATAAATAAATAAAAATGTAATAAAAATTTTAAGAAATCAGGAAAAATTTAAAATTAAAACTTTAAAAAATTATTAGGTCTAAAGCCCAAAATTTTAATACAAAAGGAGACTAAATGGCTTTTTAGGAACGAGCATTAGAAATAAAAACCTTCTTTTTGAAATATTGTCATTGACTCAGAAGAAGTGATCTGCTGAGGATAGAAAGAAATGGTCCATGGGTCTTTTCCAATGCTGAGCATCAACCCCAGGCCTTATCCTGTTGTATGCTCTGTACTGCAGAGCCTTGGGGTATTTTTAAATGTTTCTTGAAGACTATGATGAGAGTGAGCTCTCCACCCATGGGATTGATAATTGCTGCCTGATAAAGTTAATGGCAGAGGAAATTTTCCTTTCTTCCTTCTCAAGTAGAAATTTTCACACAAGGTATAGTGGTGACTCATACCTGTACTCCCAGCACTCAGGAGGATCACTGCAAGCTTGAAGATAGCCTGGGGTACAGAGCAAGTTCCAGGCTAGCCAGGCTTAAATAGTATAGCCCTGTCTTCAAACAACACCCGCCTCCAAAAAAAGACCCCAGAAAATTTCAAGCATCACAAATGTGAGAAGAATTGTAAAATGAGCTTAGGCACTCTCAGAAGGCTTTGATAGTTACGTACGCAACTACTTCATCTCCCATTTCAGAATGAAGCAAATGCCAAGCACCGTGCCATTTCATCTGAAGATATTTTATACGTATCTCTAATATGTATGTTTTCAAAAGTATCTCATTTCCATGATCACATATATAAGAAATTAATAATTCCTTAATAGCATTAACTCTTCAGTCGGTGTTCAAATTTACACATTTGCCTTATAATTTTATTTTATGCTGTAATTTCACAACTCAGATCTAAGTTTTATATAGTGCAAGTTGCTTGTCTTTTTTATTTTTATTTTTATTTTTTTGAGACAGGGTCTCCTTGCAGTCCCAGCTGGCCTGGAACTCCCTATTAGACCAGTCTGGCCTCAAACTCACAGAGATCTGCCTGCCTCTACCTCCCGAGTGCTGGGATTAAAGGCTTGTGCCACCATACAAAGCAATGGCTTGTCTTTTAAATAGTTTAGATCTTTTGGAAAGAGATTTAAAAGGTTTGTTTATTTTAGTGTAGTCACAGAATTGTGCAAAAGTTTCATTACCCCAGAAAGAAAGTCTGAGCTTATTGAGCTTATTCTCATTCCTCTTCCCCTCAGCCTCTCACAGCTAAACTGTTCTCTCTCTCTCTCTCTCTCTCTCTCTCTCTCTCTCTTTCTTTATTTCTTTTTGAAGGCAGACAGGGTCTCATGTAGGGCAGGTCTAAAACTTGCTATGTAGTCCTGGATGGCCTTGAACTCCTGACCCTCCTTACCTCTGCCTCCCAAGAACTGGGATGACAAGTGTGCATCCCCACTCCTGGCACTCGGGATTTTCCAACTGTGCGTGTTTGCATAAATGAAATCACACAATCCTGGAAACCCCTGTTTTTGTTTTTTGTTTAATGTTCTCAGGGTTCAGCCATGCCATAGCTGGTATCTGTAGTTCCTTCCTTTTTTGTGTCCAGGTGATATTCTGTTGAGTGGATTCAATTCCTCTTGTTATCCACTCGTCAGTGGATGGACTTTGGGGTTGTTTCCACTTGGCTGTTAAACATGACACTGCTATGGAAGTTCACATACAAGCTTTTGTGTGGGTCTGTGTTTTCATTTCTCTTGGTTAGTATAGTGAAGGGTGGCCTTGCTGGGTTGTGTGGGAACTCTGTTTAACCAGTGAGGAACCACATTTGATTGTTTTCCATCCCCACCAGCCCTGTGAAGGATTCTGGTTTCTTCATGTCCTCTCCAACAGTCTTTGATAACTGACATTCTAGTGGGCGCGAAGTGGCATCTCTTTGTGGTTTTGATTTGCATTTCCTAATGACTAGTAATTCTGAGCATGGCTTCTGTGTTCACTGACCAGTTGCATATCCTCTTTGAAGAAATGTCTGTTTAGATCAACTGTCCACTAAAAAAAAGATTTAAATTTAGAGAGAGAGAGAGAGAGAGAGAGAGAGTGAGAGAGAGAGAGAGAGAGACCTACCAGAGACATTGGATTCCCTAGGAGCTGGAGTTACAGGCAGTTGTGAACCACCATGAGATATGGATGCTGGGAACTGAACTCAGGTCCCCTGCAAGAGCAGCCGTACACCTTCTTAACCACTGAGCTATGTCTTCATGGAGCTTTTTGTCTCTTTTTAGGGTTGAGCTGCCAAATCCTATCTAATTTCCAGATACATTGTATTTACAAAATTTCTTTCCCATTCTGTGACTTGTCTTCTTATATTGAGACAAGTTTTCA